TAAGCTGGATTTCACTCATATGGTTCAAACTGAAACCAACAAACAAACAAGACATAGAAACAAACAAAAACTCATAGACACAGATAACAGCTTAGTGGTTACCACAGGGAAAAGGGGATAGGGGAGGTAGAAACCGTTAAAGGGGATCACGTATACGGTATCAGGAGATTTGACTTTGGGTGGTGAATATACAATGCAATATCCAGATGATATATTATAGAATTGTACACTTGAAACCATATAATTTTATTAACCAATGTCACTCCAATAAATTTAATTTTAAAAAAGATTTTTTTAAAAAGAAAAGAAAGTATATATTTTGGCTTACAACATGCAACACAAATACAATGTAAGGTAACTACTCCCAAAACAATCCTTTCTTTTCAGTTTAAACTATTTCACCAGGCTGACTTCAGCTAATGAATTTTCCCAACTATCATGCCTAGCAATGTAGATACTGTGCTTTTTAATTTAAAAAGATTAGGACTTCTGAAAGCCTATAGAACAACCTGGTCTTTTTTCCTTGGTCACTAGTCAATATTTTAAACACAGGAGTTAATACTTATGAAAGTAGTAAATGAGCTGTTCTGGTAAGGTGGCACACATTTAATGTTTGCTCCAATTTTGTCATCTAATGTACAGATGAAAATTGGCTGTTTTCTCCTGAAAACTGGAAATTGAACCAAATTACCCATAGATAATTTAATAGTAACATTTGAAAAGATCTGGACATGTGATGACTTTGACTATGTCTTGGGATAATTGTGTTAAACTGATACATACATATTCAAGCTTAATGCTAATCAGCACCTAACTCCTGGAAACTGTGACTATGCTACCATACATGGCAAAGAGGAATTGCGGTTGCAGATAGAATTAAAGTTGCTAATCAGCTGATCTTGAAATAAGCATACTATTCTGTATTATCTGGCTGAGCACAATGTAATTACAAAGGTCCTATAAAGTGGAAGAGGGAGGAAGAAGAGGTCTGAACATCTATGTGAGATGGAATTACCTGCTATTGCTGGCTTTGAAGATGGAAAAAGAGCCCACAAGACAAGATATGCTGGTGGCCCCTAGAAACTGGAAAAGACAAGGAAACAGATTCTCCTTTAGAATCTCTAGAAAGAATGGGACACAGCCCTGCTAATACCTTAATTTTAGCTTAGTCAAATCCGTGTCAGACTTTTGAACTACAGAACAATAAGATAATAAATTTGTGTTGTTTTAATGCACTAAGTTTGTGGTAATTTGTGATAGCAGCAATAGAAAACTAACCCAGCATGCATATAGGCTATTCCACAGACCATTAGCCAAAAGCCTTTTGTTCAGACTAGAAATTCGTAAGCCAAGAATGGCAGAAAGGAAAGGGTGGAAGAAGGAATCATTAATTCAACCGTTTTTTAAAGAATGTACAACTGTGCCAGCGGTGGCGGTTACAGCCTCTCAGTTTGCAGTCTAACTTCACATGCCCCAAATTGAACTCTTGATTTTCCTTTTCAAATCTGCTCTTCCCATTGGATCACCAGCTCAATAAATAGCAACCCCATGCTTTCCATTTCTTAGGCAAAGCTCATTAAAGACATCCTTGATCCCTTTCTTTCTCTCAGGCCCTACATCCAAGTCATTAGCAAATCCTATTGGCTCTACTTACAAAAATATATCCAGAATCCAATCACTTTTTTCACCCCCCTGTTACCTCCCTGATCTGAGCTACCCTCATCTCTCTCTTGGATGATTGAGTGACTCTTAATTGGACTCCAGTCTTTGTAACACAGCAGCCATAGTGATTGGATAAAGATATGGTACATATATACAATGGAATATTACTCGGATCAAGTAAAGTAACTCCTCAGCTCATAATCATCCAATAGTTCCCCACTCATTCAGAGTAAAAGCCCAAATGCTTATACATGACACCTTGTGTTATGTAATTGTTCCCAACCATTACCCCCCCTCTCTGTAAAAAGATCAGAGTCCCTTCCCTTGCCACGCAAGCATACATTCCTCCCCCACTGTCAGGATTGGCTGTGTGATCAGAAAGGCCAGCGTGCTAGTGCCAAGGAGGAGGTTTAGAAGGCATTACATCGTTCTGTTAGCGCTCTTACTTTTTCTTCTGTCATGAAAGTAGCATGTGTGAAATAAGGACCGCTCCTTTAGCCTGAGTCCCAGAATAAGGCCTGAAACAGCAACTGAGTCACAGCCACAATAAAGAACATGAGAAGAAATAAATGTTTGTTGTTGTATGTTACTGAGATTTGGAGGACATTTGTTACTGCAGCAAAGCTGACTAATATATGCCACCATCACTTCTCTGACCAACTTCATTTTCTAGTCTTCCCCTCATTCACTGTGCTCCAGCCATCATGACCTTCTTGCTGTTTTCTTGAATGTGACAAGCATACTCCTGCCCCAGAACCTCTACTCTTCCCCCTGCCTGAAAACATCCTTCTCCCAGAAATCTGCATTTTGGGCTCCCTCCCTTCTCTTAGGTCTTTGCTCCAATGTCGCTTAGGTAAAGCCCTCTCTGATTGTCCAATATAAAATTGCAACGTCCCTACTCTTCTAATTCTCCTCCCCTTTCTACTTGATTTTTCTCCTTCATAGTTATCACTATCTAAATTACTAATTATTTTGCTCCTTTATTTGTTTGCTGTCCATCTCCCCTCTAGAATGGACCCTCCATCAGGGCAAGGGCTTGCCTCTTTTGTTCATGACTGTATTCCTAACACCTAGGACAGCATCTGATGCATCATAGTTGCTCAATAAATATTTGTGGGATGAATAGTGGTGGTAGTGGTGGTGGTGTTGGTGATGACAGTGGTGATGATGATAATGTGTGTGTGTGTGTGTGTGCACAGGGTGAGTCCAGGTGGCATTGAGTGTTCTTGAATATTTTAAGTCAAATGCAGCTGGACTAGAATATGGAGGGGGCTACATTTATTAGGAACATTTTGAAAAAAGGACTAGGTTCAAGATTTGAAATTATGCTAAGGCTGAAAAGTGGGATGGACACTCGACAAGCTGAAGAGTTGGGTCAGAGCCATCCACTGCAGAATGTTTAAAGTAGAAATTCCTAAGTTGTCAGAATCATAAAATGTTGATTAAATCTTTAAATCATACCTTTCTAGGTAAAGACAATAAATTTAAATCGCTTTATTTGTAATTAAACCCAATAAATAGTTACCACTGAAATCCAGGAGATAGTCTCGTGCAGAGTTTAAGAGTGTAGACATTGGAGCCAGACCATCTGGGCTCATACCCTGCCTTCACCGATCACTGCTTATATGTCCCCTCAGGCAGGTGACCTGACATCTTGGAGCCTCTGTTTTCACATCATAAAATGGAGGTGAAGATGATAGCATTAATGAAATGCCTACCTAAAAGGATGGTTGAAATTAAATTAAAAATACATGTAAGTTACTTTGAACTATGCCTGGCATGTAGCATGCAACAAACATGAGCTATCATTGTTACCATTTGAAAAAAAAACGTGAAAAATCAGAAGGAAAAAATGTGTATACACAAACACTTAGACACACACACCCATACTTTGTTCAAGACTTAGTAATCAAAGGACTAGGCATAAAATAAAACTCATGATACGTTGATGTGAGCAATTGTAGGGGTTCAGACTGTGTCACCCCAAGATGTGCTTTAGTGGTATGCAGATTGTTTTGAGCTAAAGGCAAATAAAACCCTGCAGGCTCAAGAGAAACTTCTGTTATGCCCCACCCCCGCCCTTTAACTATCTAGAATTTAAATTAGGAGCCTGGCCCATGATAAGAGGTAAAACCAGAAACAACTTTTAACTTATCTACATGGTAGGGCTAACTAATAATTATCGAACACATGTTCTTCCTGCAATGACCCTCTGAAGTCCCCAAGGTATTGCCTTATCCCTAGCTCAGAATGTCATTTATGTTCAACTTCCCTTTCTGTCTCTGAACATCTCTTGCATGTGGGATCTCTGACTCTTATGTATGTGGGCTTCCCATACACACATATGAATTAAATTTGGCTATTTTCTCTGGTTAATCTGTCTTGTGTCTATTTAATTATTAGGTCAGCTGAGAGAACTTGGAGGGCAAAGGAAAGTTTCTTCCTCCCCCACACTATAAAATCATATTCAATATGTGTTGGTTTATGAAAATGAGGCAAACGGTGTGAGATGACTGAGTTGTTGGTGACACAAATTTATTTCATTAAATCTTCATGACCACCTTGTGAGATAGGTTTTATTATCTCCACTAAACAGATGAATAAACTGAGACTTAGAAGGTCAGTAAAAGGTTAGTAAAAGGTTGAGCCTGTTTTTAAACCCTGTTGGTTAGACTCCTGAAGTCACACTCCTAACCATTTAACAAGATGGGACAATGGTGAGCGATGAGGAGATGACAAGGTTTTGATGTCATGGCAAGGCCCTTGGCCAGTGTTTATGTCCTGTCAAAACTGATGAGCGATTCCACAGAAAACTTTCGGAGGCATTCTCTGACAATGCAAATAAGGACACAGTGGTTACATGTACACATGCTAGGACAAAAATACTATTTAAATTATGTTAATTTTAAAATTACGTATATATATGCATGTTGTGGGCCCATACACTTTAAACCTGTCTGTAGCTGGGACACCTGCCAGGTAGCCCAGCACAGAGCAGCCCAGAGCAACACCCTGGGAGGGGAACTGCAGCAAGAAGCCAGGAAACCAGTGTCCTCTGTGGTGCTTCCATGGCAGGGCCTCAGGCTGAAACCTTGAAGTGCTGGCAGGTCATTTCTTTGTGCATCACCTAAATACCTCCACTGGAATGACAGGATCTTATCAGTAAGATTGTTGTTGCACTAAACCTTTGGCCAAAGAACACGCATTCTATGAAGATCCGTGTTGATTTAGTTGAAGGCTAAACTTAGAAAATATATTCTTATGTTTACTAAATGATAATATTTACTATTTGAAACTGTAAACCAGACATTTACTAATGATATTCTTACTTTGTGCAGCCTAAGTCAGAGCCATGGCTCCAAAATCTAAAAAAGGAAAGAGCTCAGGTAGCCAAAAAGTGCCAAAAACTGCCAGAAATAAGGAAATATTATCAGGTAGGATTGCCTTTTCATTAATGGGATTTTTATGGCTTTAGTATTTGCACACATAGGAGCAGCCAAATTGATCACGGTTTTAAACTTAAATATTTTCGCTGTCATAAAGCCAAGCACAAAAGGAATTAAAAATATGGGGATTTATTCTTATTTTGTATTCATTTTATTACAGTATCAATTAAATACCATATAATTAATGCCATAGGAAACATATCAGTAAGAGATAATTCTGTGGGAAAGACAATTATTCAGATTCTGTCTATTTAGTTATTCATAAAATAGTTTAAGTCTTCATCATGTATTTGCATTTATGGTTTGTGTTTTGAGACATGGTAAAAAACTGTAATAAATTAAGATGTATATTTGATTCAAAAACATAAATTTGACATCATTTCATTATATTCCAGTTAGTGAAGAAACAGCACCTATGAATATGGAGAGCATCGGTAAGTGGAAATACAATTTAGAAATTAAGTCCCTAGTTTTATAATATTTTAATATGCAATAAGCAAGTGAGAATATGACAAATTGAAGCAATTGGTAAACATGTACATAGACTAAAATTATTTCATGTCATTTAGAACACAAAATGAAAAATGTTAAAGATAGCATAAAAGTTAAGAGTAGAAGAAATAACTTCAAACTGAGAAATAGATTTGAGCCAAGCTGTCCCTTCAAAATCCAACATTGTAAGATTATTGAGAGACCTTTTGTAATTATAAAGTGTGGTAAGTCTGTAAGTTATTACTTTTATTAGAATAGTATTTTAAAACTCTGACTCATGGGCAATATTTATCTGTATTTCATGGTAAGATTCCACTATTTCAAGGAGAAGGGCTGATTGTTAAGCAAATAAACTAGAACTTAGACAACCAAACTAAGGTTCCTGCTTTTAGAGGCTAAATAATTAAAGCTTTGTTTTTGTTGTTGAAACTTTCTCTTAAAGCTGACTTAGAAAATGTACCTCATGTTTGGAAACAGAAGAAACAGAGAGGGTGGAAAAGAGAAAGATCTAAAAGCCTTGAAGGTTATTGTGAAGATTTTGGCTAAGATAGGGAGCTATGAGCTGTATTTAAGCAGAGGAGTGACATGATCTGACTTATGTTTTGACTGAGTCACCCTGGCTACTCTGTTGAGAACTGCCGGGGCAAGGACAGAAGCAGACAGTAGTGAGGAAGCGATTGCACCAGTCCAGGAAAGAGATGGCGGTGGCTTGGGCCAGAGTGGCAGAGCGGGTGGAGATGTGGAGCGCAGAGGTGGGGAGATGGTGGTAGGATGTCAGCTAAGAGTAAGTGGCACTGGAGTAAGCCATGCTGCCCAACAAATATTTATTGAATTAATGAATGTATCACCCAGAAACGGAGTCATTTTTTACCCCTTTCTCCCCCTCAACTCTTCCCCGCTCTCATTTAAACCATCCTAACTCCTGTCAATCCCACCTCTAAAATATGTCTCAAACCCATTCATTTCACATTACCTCTATGTCTACAGTTTCAGTCCAAAACTCCACCCGCTCGCTTAGATTAGCTCCTTAGCTCCTAACTAGTATCACTGCTTCCACTCAGCCTCCTTGAATCCATTCTGCACACAGTAACCTGCCATGTCTCTTCCCTGCTTAAACTCTCCCATGATTTTTCTTTGTCTGTATAGTGGTTCTGGCCCTGTTCTGGCCCTGCCTTCCTCTCTGATCTTTTCTCTTCATCCTCTCCTTGCATCTACAGTTCACCAGTCTTGCCCAGCACAGAACATAACAAATTTGTTCCTGCTTCAGGGCCTTCGCTCTTGCTCCACATGCCTGGATACCTCTTTCCCCAGATCTTTATATAACTATCACCTTCTCATTCAGATCCAGACTCCAATCCCATCTCTGTAAGAGTTGTTTTCTGACGTCCTCTTCCACCTAGTCCCCTTGCCTTCACAGCACTTATCATAATCCTAAAGTTAAAGTACAGTGATTCTCATTATTCATGGAGGTTCTCTACAGTTGCTGTGACCACTGAATTAGCAAACACTAAACCATTGCTCTTAGGGGAACTACAGGGTTAAGTTTTAGTCACAACATTGATTTAACCAATCAATCTATAACCTTGTTTTATGTGTTTCTGTTTAAACACATCTTATTTAATATATATTGTTGATTCACTAACATTTAACTCACAGCCAACAGCACTATAACTCATGCCTTAATGATAATACATAGATTTTCTCTTGTGAGGCACATCACAAGCTTCCTTGTGCATGGGAACA